TCTGCCTTCTGGACTGTGGGATTCACGGTTGTTCTCCTCCTCTCCATCCACCAGGGCTTGACTTCAGGTGCAGAAGAATTCCCCAGCCCCCCAAGGATTTGAGACCCATCAGCTTTCCTCACCTGGTTTAGCCGGCCGGTTGAAGCCGTTGCTTGAACCCCTGTTGCATGCTGACAGCTTCTGGAAGCCACAGGTGAGAGCTGAGTGCAGGGTGGGCACTAAGGGTGGAAAAATGACCCCAGAAGGTGCAGGACATGTCCCCCAACAAAGGAGACTACAGCTCCCCAACAACCCCATGGACAATCTAGATTCAGGTAGGTAGCCGTGTTGGTCTGACGCAGTTGAAATAAAAAAATTAAAAATAGTCCAGTAGCACCTTAGAGACCAACTAAGATTTGTTCTAGGTATAAGCTTTCGTGTGCATGGGCACTTCTTCAGATACACTGAAACTGATGTCACCAGACCCTTGTATATCGTGGGAGGGTGGGGTGGGGTTTTTCTCAGAAGGTACTCCTACTACCATCTCCTACTACCCCTTCACTATATGAGGAAGTGTGCAAGCACACGAAAGCTTATACCTAGAACAAACTTAGTTGGTCCCTAAGGTGCTACTGGACTATTCTTTTTCACTTCAGCTGTGTCAGACCAACACGGCTATCTTCGATTAAGTACAGTTATGTCCTGCTTTTCAGTGTCACTTTAGGATAGTCAGAAGACGGGCTCGGAGATCAGGCAGCACGTCATCATTATAAAGCACCATTGGGGTGGGTGTTTCCGCCTGGGATTCCCATGTGCCAGCTGCATTCCTTCTGCTTCTCCTGCTCTCTCCATGCAATGCGAGGCATGAGGACGGAGGTCCATCTCCAAGAACAGGAGCTTCCCTGAGCACCCATTCAGCTGACCCCAAGCACCAAGCCTTGCCACTAGTTCTCTGACTGACCCAGACCACAGTCCCTGGAAAAGATGAAGGCCTGGGTCTCACATAATGGTCCACATGGACCTCCTGAGGTCAGTGGGACTGGTGCAGGTGATTCATGAAGATCTAGAGGTGGGAAACGGGGGCAACCACTTGATTTGAAAGGCAGTCTTAGAGTAAAAATTCTTGCTAAATGTAGTTTTTATCAATCTCTTATCTCTTCATAAATCATGTTCCAAAATCTTTGTATCCCTAGACAGGACCACCACATATGGTAGTATGTTCCTATCTGTTCCTTACATTGCCAGCACTTGTTATTATTTGATTTATTCATTTTTGCAAGTTTTACAGGGGTCAGGTACCACCTATAGTAGATTTTCATAAGATTTTCCCTTATAAGGAAACAAGCCGTGAATTTTATATTTTTAGTCCATAATTCGTTCTAAATATTGGGTTTGATCGTATGTCCCAGGTCCCTCTCCCATTTTACTGTAATTTCTTTGATATCTTCCTCCTTTCTTTGCCAATTCAAAAGTAGTTTGTACATTTTAGAAAGTGTCTTTTGATTATTATATAAAATATCCTTCTCCAGATAGGATATTTTTTTGTCAAATCTTTTGGTTCTTTTATCCTTTTCAAGGGCGGCTTTTAATTGATAATACTACAGCCAGGTTATTCCCTTCTGTTTCAATTCGCTTAGGCCCTTTATTTTCGGATCACTACTTGTTTCCTCTACTAGCCAATCGCTGTTCATATTCATCCTGTGAACTGACATAGATTCCATTGGTGTCAGCCACCATGGTGTTTTGGTTACTACTGATTTTTTACTCCTCTCCCATGCTTCATATAATGCCCTTTTCACAATGTGATTTAAAAATCCTTTCCGGGATTTAACCTTGTCATAGCCTATGTAGCCATGCCACCCGTACACAATATCCCATCCCTCCAGATCTAGGACTTCTGTGTTTTTAATTAATATCCAGTCCTTAATCCATGTCCAACACACTGCCTCAAAGTACAGTTTAAGGTCAGGGACCGCGAAGCCTCCTTTTTCCTTCAAGTCTGTTACTAGCTTAAATTTTATGCGTGGTTTTTCCCCTTGCCAAATAAACTTGGCAAGGTCTTTCTGCCAATCCTTAAGAAGCCCGCCTGGTCTCTGCTGATTATTTTGTTTAGAGTCTTTTTTAATCTATTAGCCATCACCCCAGCATAGATTTTATAGTCTGTATTCAACAGGTAGATTGGTCTATAATTTTTCATGTCTGTCAACTCCACTCCCTGTTTTGGGATTAGAGTGACCAGTGCTTCTTTCCATGATTGTGGTATATCTTTCCCTCCCAGTATATTATTCATTATTCTTTTTAATATAGGGAGGATTACTTCTTCCAGGTTCTTATAGTACAGTAATGTTATTCCGTCAAGACCTGGCGATTTGCCACTCTTCATATTTTTTTATTACTTGTGCCATTTCATCTATTTCTATATTGGAGTTGAGGGCCTCAACTTCTTCTTTTTCAATTCCTGGTAATTTATTTTGTTGTAAATACTCTTCCATTTTATTAACCTCTAAATGTTCTTGTTTATATAAATCTTTATAAAAGTTTAAGAATTTTATTTTTATTTTTACTGGGTCTGTTATTTCCTCTCCTTGGTCCAAAATTTTATTTATAACTTTTTTTGTTTGCTTTTCCTTTATGCTAACAACTTACCGGGTTTATTGGCGGACTCAAAATACCTTTGTTTTCCCCATTTAATTTTATTTTCTACTTCCTTATTTAATATACGAGAGATATGGGATTGCAATATCTTTATTTTTTGTAATATTTCATGACTTTTTGGATTTTGATCAACTCTTTTTCATTAATTCTTATCTGGTTAGTTAGCTCTTGGATATTATTGTCTTTTATCTTCTTCAGTCTAGCCATTTGTTGTATTCCAAGACCCCTCATGTACGCTTTACTAAACTACATTTATGTCTGCATTTTGTTTCCCATTTATCTCGAAAAATTCCACTAACTTGATTTTTGCTTGCGTCACTCATTGGTCGTCTCTCCATATAATTTTTACTAGGAATGGTTTCAGCTAATATTCCCAAAAACAAAACTAGGCTATTTATGTATGCAACGTCAGCAGCAAGGGTTGTAGTGGCAAAACACTGGAAAGATAAAAATACACCCACTAAAGAGGAATGGGTAGTCAAATTGTGCAAGTACTTGGAGCTCGCAAAGCTGACAGATGCAATAAGAGATAAACCTTAAAAAATGGTGAAAGAAGAATGGGAATATTTAAATAATTACGTAGGGGACAAGGGCTAAACAAGAAAGACCTGGCTATGTTTAGAATGATACCGCATAGAGAAATGCTCCCTGATACAAAGATGAAGGATTCCTTTAGAATGCAGATAGAGAGAATTGATAAGAATAATGATCTGTTGTGAGCTTGACAGAAGTGTACAATAGATGAGCTTTCCTGCTTAGGCTCATCTTCCTTTTTCTTTTCCTTTTTTTCTTTTTCTTTTTTCTTTTCTTTTATCTTTCCCATAGTTGCTTATGTTCTGTGTCATGTACCTCGATATTTTTTGTAGTCTTTTTTCATTTCTCCCCCATTACTATTAAGGAATTTTCCTTTGTAATTTTGGTTGTCTATATTTCTAAGCACCTGTTTACATGTACCTGTTTAAAGCAAAATAAAAGTTTAAAAAAAGAGAGAGAAGAAGAAAAAAGAAAGAAAGGCAGTCTCAGAGGACAACGGTATTCTAAGATCATTCTGTGTTATTAAAGATGATTGAGGATTATGAAAGGTTGCTGATGCATTACTACCATTTGACATCATACCATTTTCATTTCCTAAAAATTGGGAACATGGGGAGGACATGGGAGATTATAGGAGATGTTGAAATAGGAGAAGGTGCTAATGGTGGGTGATGTGTCCTTTTTTTCTGTGTTCTCTTTCCTAAAACCCAAACAGGATTTCCTTTATGCCCACTCTGAAAAAGGTGATGGAGAAGACAGAATTGCAGGGGACAGGGCACCTTTCGTTTCATTAGGAATAGCCATTAAAATGTGTGAAATGTGGAATATGCTTCACTGAATGAGCACACATAGTTCACATCAACGAACACAAAAAGGAAAGAACCCATTTAAAGGTATGGAGTGTGGAAAGAGCTTCTCTTTCAATGCAAAACTTACAACACACCTGCGGACTCACACAGAGAGAAAGCGTTTTAAGTGCAGGGAGTGTGGGAAGAACTTCAGTCATAGTGGAAACCTTAAATTGCACAAACGGAGTCACACAGGGGGGGAACCATTTAAATGCATGGAGTGTGAAAAAAGTTTTCATGATAGTGGAAACCTAAGAAGACATCAGACTCACACAGGGGTGAAATCTTTTAAATGTATAGAGTGTGGAAAGAGCTTTAGGGATAATGGAAAACTTAGAACACATGAACGGACTCACACCGGGGAGAAACCATTTAAATGTATCGAGTGTGGAAAGAGTTTTAGTGATAATGGAAAACTTAGAACACATGAACGGACTCACACCGGGGAGAAAACATTTAAATGTATCGAGTGTGGAAAGAGCTTTAGTGAAAATGGAAGCCTTAGGAACCATCAACGGACTCACACAGGGGAGAGACCATTTAAATGTATGGAGTGTGGAAAGAGCTTCAGTCAGAATGGAAACCTTAGGAACCATCAACGGACTCACACAGGGGAGAGACCATTTAAATGCATGGAGTGTGGAAAGGACTTCAGTCAGAATGGACACCTTAGAACACATCAACGGAATCACACAGGGGAGACACCATTTAAATGTATGGAGTGTGGAAACAGCTTTAGTAATAATGGAAACCTTAGGAGACATCAACGGACTCACACAGGGGAGAAACCATTTAAATGCATGGAGTGTGGAAAGAGCTTCAGTCAGAGTGGAAGCCTTAGAACACATCAACGGACTCACACAGGGGAGAAACCATTTAAATGCATGGAGTGTGGAAAGAGCTTCAGTCAGAGTGGAAGCCTTAGACTACATCAACGGACTCACACAGGGGAGAAACCATTTAAATGTATGGAGTGTGGAAAGAGCTTTAGTTTCAATGCAGCCCTTAGAATACATCAACGGACTCACACAGGGGAAAAACCATTTAAATGCATTGAGTGCGGAAAGAGCTTCAGTCAGAATGCAGACCTTAAAAAACATCAACGGATTCACACAGGGGAGAAACCATTTAAATGCATGGAATGTGGAAAGAGCTTCAGTTACGATTCAGGCCTTAGAAGACATCAGCGGGCTCACATAGGGGGAAAACCATTTAAATGCATTGAGTGCGGAAAGAGCTTCAGTCAGAATGGAAACCTTAAATTACACCAGCGGACTCACACAGGGGAGAAACCATTTAAATGCATGAAGTGCGGAAAAAGCTTCCGTCAGAGTGGAAATCTTAGAAAACATCAGCAGACACACAGGGAAGACACCATTTAAATGTATGGCATGTGGAAGAAGCTTCAGTCAGCGTGGAACCCTTGATATACATCAACAAACTCACACAAAAGACAAACCACATAAACGTCAGGAAAGTATATTGAGGCTCAGTCCTTGTGGAAGTCCTACATCAACAGACTCGTGGCCAGGAAGAACTTTAACAGTTGACACCCTACATACCATCAATAACTTTAAATGGAAGGATTGCAGAAAGTGCTTTAGCTATAATGTAATGTTTAAGAAATATCAGACATTCAAGCGGGAGAACCCATTTAGATGTATGGAGTGTAGGACATCTTCCTCTCAGAGTCCACTCTTCTTCACGGCAATGAACTCAGAGGAAATCTGTCTTCCTGCTTCAGGGCCAGCTGAGTCTGTTTCTCTTGTCATTTTCTTGTAGCTAGGTAATTCCTCTCTAATCTGCTCTGTGTCTGTGTCTCTCCCTCCTTCTGAGACCACTGGAAACGAAGGGGATGACTTTCCCCCCTCCAGCTCCTCTTCTGAGGAAAGCTGATTGGCCTGAGAATGGATTCCCCCCTTAAGGTGGGGGACCTCAACGAAGTCCCTTCATTAGAAATGGACAGGACAGAAAGGGACAGAATATCTAGAAAAGAGAGACTACCACATACATTTTTTCAAATGGTGGACAGCTTAAACCTAAGGGATGCATGGAGAGAGAGAAATCCACTGGAGAAACAGTTCACACTCTTTTCAGAAGCCTAACAATCGTCGGGGAGAATTTATGCAATCTAGATCTCAAATAGTTTAATAATAAAAAATTTAAAAAAAACAGAGATTCACCCAAGGACAATAACAGATCATAATCCAGTGATATTAGAATTAGAAAATAAACAAAAGGGTAATAAAAGATGGCGATTAAATGATAACTTATTAAACGATGAAAATCTGGTGATTAAAGCACAAGAATTGTTGAAATAATTCTTTGAAATCAATAAATCACAAGACACTGATATAAGAATAATTTGCGATGCCAGTAAAGCATTTCTTAGAGGCTTCTATATACAGCAAAATGCAGGGGGAAAAGAGAGCTTATGAGAGGAACTTAGAGCAGTTAAGAGAAGAAATAGCGAGCAATGAAAAAATACTAGCGAAGCAACCAAAAAATAAAAAGGTAGCACCAAAAATCAAGTTATTACAAACACAATTCTCATAGTTGTTAAGCATTGAAATCCAAAATAACATAAGATGGATGAAACAGAGATCCTTTGAATTTGCAAATAGGCCCAGCAAAATACTGGCATGGCAACTGAAGAAGAGACAGAAAGAGAGATTAATAGATAAAATCAAAGACGGCAAGAAAACGAGAAGAAATAAACAAGTGTTTTATCAACCACTTCAAAAATTTATGTAATATAGGCAAGAAAACAGAAGAAGATATAAAAAATTATCTGCAGGGGAAAGACTTACCCAGAGTGGGAATAGAAAAAAATGCATATCTAAATAGAAAAAAATGCATATCTGCCCCAGTTTCTATGATGGAAGTACAGCAGGCTATTTCCAAAGCGAAGTTGGGGAAGTCGCTGGGCCCGGATGCCCTTACCGCCTTGCATTAAAAAAAAATGGAGGAAGTAGTGGCTACTTCGCTGAAAGTATTCATAAATAAAATAATGGCAGAAGGAAGAATCCCGGAGTCATGGCAATTAGCACATATAACAGTAAACCCTAAACAAGACAAGAACAAAGAGAATATAAATAATGATAGACCAATATCTTTACTTAATAATGACTACAAGATATATGCGGACATATTGGCCCAGAGATTAAAAACAGTGTTGAACGAAGTCATTAGCCAAGATCAGACAGGATTCTTACCGGGAAGGAAGATGAGCAATAATGTGAGACTTGTGATTGATGCTATTGAATATCTTGACTGGAACCCAGGGAAGAAGGCTGCATCTGTTTTTGTGGGTGCTGAGAAAGCCTTCGATAAGGTATCCTGGAGGTTTGTGGAGAAGATAATTGAAAAGATGGAAGTGGGAACAAGGATATCAACTGGATTCAGAGCTATTTATCAAGACCAAAAGGTAAATTTAATAATGAATGGGGAGATGACTGAATACTTTAAAATAGAAAGGGGGACAAGACACGGGTGTCCCCTATCTCCCTTGTTATTTGTTTTAATATTGGAGGTACTAAATCAAGTTATCAGGTCAGAGGAGGAGATTAGAGGTATAACACTAGGAAGAGTCGAATATAGAATAAGAGCATTTGCCGATGATATGATTGTAAAGATAGAAGAACCAACAGGAAGTATAAGCAAGTTGCTGAGAAAGATGGAGGAATTTAGCAAGGTGGCAGGATTTAGGATAAAGAAAGAGAAAACTAAGGTGGTGGTTAAGAATATGGACAAACAGAGCAAAAAGAATTTGGAGCAATGAAAAATATCAATTTGTTTGAAGATAATTATAATAAGACCTGGAAAGAAGTTAAAAATCAATTAGAGATTTGGTAAAGGTTAAAGTTATCAATAAGGAGGTGAATTTCAGTGATTAAAATGAATATCCTGCCAAAGTTAATGTTTCTTTTTCAAATGCTAACGATAATAGGCAAAGTTGATTGCTTTGAGAAATGGAAAAAATGATTTAAGATTTCGTTTACCAGAGGCTTTTTGTTAGGCCTAATATCTAATGACATCCCCAGAGAGAAGAAAAATGTATTCCTTTACGCAACTGCAGCGGCCAGAATACTGATCACAAAGAATTGGAAGGGGGAGAAAACTCATCATTATTAGAATGGCAAAACAAACTGCGAGTTTGTAGAAACGGCAAAATTGACGGCACTTATTAGAGGCCACTCAAATCAGAGAATAATCAAGGAGTGGGATGGTGTGAAGGAATACATGAAAAAATATTGTTCCGGAATTGAAATAAGAATAGATAATGGGTAAAACATGCAGGGGTAAGCAAGAAAAGAGCAATAGAATTAATTGAATAATTATTAAACTATAACAACACAACAAGATGGAAGAAGTAAAATACTGAGATCACACATGGGTGAAGGGGAGTGGGGGGCCTGTGGGAATCTATAATATTATTTATAATATAATTTTTAAAACTGTGTTTCATTTACATATAGCAAAAGGAAGCCTAGAGTGATTATGTATATTTTAATTTAGGTAATCTATGTAATAGGCTTAGGGACGCGGGTGGTGCTGTGGGTTAAACCACAGAGCGTAGGACTTGCCAATCAGAAGGTCAGCGGTTCGAATCCCCGCGATGGGGTGAGCTCCCGTTTCTCGGTCCCTGCTCCTGCCAACCTAGCAGTTCGAAAGCACATCAAAGTGCAAGTAGATAAATAGGTACCACTCCAGTGGGAAGGTAAACGGCGTTTCCGTGCGCTGCTCTGGTTCGCCAGAAGCGGCTTAGTCCTGCTGGCCACATGACCCGGAAGCTGTACGCCGGCTCCCTCGGCCAGTAAAGCGAGATGAGCGCCGCAACCCCAGAGTTATCCATAGCTGGACCTAATGGTCAGGGGTCCCTTTTCCTTTACCTATGTAATAAGCTTATGTTAAAATACGAATATGGATTTTGAATTTGATGCTTGTACTTTTGTTTCTTTTTGGGTTTGAAATTAAAAAAAGGAGAAGGAGTGAGGAAAAGGAGAATATTCAGCTTCAGACCATTCCCTGACAAAACACATTGCCCTGTGTCCTTCCAGCCTCTTTCCTCCCTTGCTCCCTTCTGCCGGTTTGTGTGCCTGACTTAGATATCCTGCATGCTGTATTTTTTTACTGCTGAAACTGGATTTGCTCTCAGGAGCTAAGTTTTGTGCCTCACTGGGGACCCAGGGAGAACTGTATGCTTTGAAAGCTCAGTAAACTATTACTGAAGAAGTCCTGCTGCCTCTGTGTGTTTTTGACCTCAGTGTGGGACTTTCTCTGCACGTGACCCCTACCCTGATGCTACTTAGCTCATGCCCTGCAGTTGCTCTACTCAAGCATGCATGATGGTGTGTCTGCGTGTGACTGTGTTATTTTGCACTTTTTATGGAAATGACAAGTGGGACCCACATCTTTAAAGTTGTTGCAATGTTACAAATCATCAAACCTTTATTGGCATCACTTACATTCAGAATAAGTAGGCCAGTGTGATCTCGTCGCCATTTCAACAGTACAGTCATTTGCCAAAGGGAAGAAGAGGCAAGCAATCTACTTCATCTCTCCAGCAAGGGCAGGATCCTGCAGCGTACTTTGGTGACAAAAAATCAAATAGAGGAACTTAGCTAGTGTCTTGGGGAGCTCCTGGTCTCTCCCCTGGAATAAGAAGTGTACAACCTCCTTCTCTGGTTTCCAGGTTGGAATGCATAGATGGTCTAAAAATTGTTGGCGGAGATCATCATAGATTTTACATTTAAGGGCCATGTGAGCTAGAGTTTCCACCAGGTGGGCATCGCATGGGCAGATCCTATCTCCTTCTGCCAAACCCACAAACCTGCCCCAAAGGAGGTTAGGAGGATTAGACTTGAACATAGAAAGAGAAAAAGCCCTTCTTTCTTGCGGGTTAAACAGAAATTGTAAATAATTAAGGTTAAATTCCTGCACCCTAGAGAGTCGAAAATAAAGAGGGGACCATGTTTTTTCCGCAGCTGAGATTAATTCCTGAAGATCTATGTCCCACAGCCTAGTTTTTAACATGGCCTTGGCTACTGGGAAAGCCATGATGATAATGTTGCAAATATTATGCCTGAATGTATCCTTTCGACTTGACAGCTCGGGGAAGATACCTAGCTTTATAAATTTGTAGAAAATCCATACTTTAACTGACTCTCCTCATTCCAACGCCATTTTGATCCTTAGAGAAAGGGGAATTTGGGCTCCACCTCCTTCCGTGAACCAAGAAGCAGAAAATCAGATCGGCAGTGTCAAGCGCTCGTCCTACACTCGAGTAGGATCCTGGTAGAGACACATGTCCGACTGGCATGTTCTCTCCCTCCTGGTCATTCGTTCGGGAGCTTCAAAAGCTTCACAGCAACTGATGCCAACAGACATCGGCACACTTAGGGATCTGCAGAGTGTTTGCAGTTTGCGTAACAGAGCTCAGCAACTCAGCATTTTGGCTAATCTACTTTATTTACATATAAACACACACGGAGCACTGCAACACGGCTCCCTCTCTCCCTAGCATCAGACAGCAAAGAGAGAGAACAAAGGACAATGGTCTCACTTCAGGAACATAGTCTCCATCACTTCCCACTGTGGAGTCAAAACATACACCGTCATGTGATAGACAAAAATACCATGACTGCAATCACGGAGCTGGAAATCTAACAGGCAGCAGGAACAGGGCATCCCACCATAATCCCCCAAGCGTAAGAGCAGAGACACGGACCCCCATCCAGGGAGTGACCAGGGGAAACAATGGACATCTGCAGAGGCAGTTGAGCAAGCCAGGTGTTCTGAAAGCCCATCTCCAGACCAGTCCTGAGGGCAAGGAGATGTCAAGAGTTTTATTGTTCTTCCGGTGATGGGGACTTAAGAGGTGTTGGGAAAGGGGCCTGATAAAGAGACCTAATGTTGGACTTGTGTCACCTTGGAGACCCCTCCCCCTTTGTGACATGCTACTGATGCAGTGATGATGTATCAGTGATGCTGCTCCAAGTGTATTCTGGGATATTGTGGGAAGTTTTAAAAGAGGGGGGTCACCCCCTACTCGGGGTTCTTACTCCTGTGGGGACCTGTTGCACAACAATAAGGATCATGGTCTATTGACCGCTGTTTTGCTGGAGCTTCCTTCTTCTACTGACCACACGGACCCGTGGGGG